AAAAAAAAAAAAAAAAGACTTTATCTTTGACTAAATTCATCATGGTTGGACCATTATTGAAAGCTAGGACGTCACCTATGACGTATAAAAGATTCAAGGGCGAAACAGTAATTAACCCGCACTCGCTAGAACTTCGCCACCTAGAAGACTCGAGCTTTACCTCCAAAATCAGTATAAATTGGCCTAAGCGATGAGCCCTAGTAGCACCAAAAAAGCTTTCTGAAGAAAAATAGGTTGAAAAAAATCCAGTCTTGGCGACAATGAAGGCGTGGAGTTACAGCGAGTACGGCGGGGTTGAGGTTCTGAAGCCCGTGTCCGACGTGGCGGTGACGGAGGTTAAGGACGATGAAGTCTTGATTAAGGTTGTCGCCGCCGCCTTGAACCCAGTTGATTTCAAGAGGAGATTCGGATATTTCAAGGCTAATGATTCGCCTTTCCCTGTGAGGCCTCCACTTTTTTTTCCCCGTAATTTATTTATTTATTCTTTGTTTGTACTCGAGTTCCAAATTTTTCATTAAATTCATGGGGTGTTTGTGTTCTTTAGTGTTTTCTGATGTAATTGCTGGTAAAACATGTTGGGAATGTTTCGATTTAGTTTGGTAATTGGCTGAAAAATTGGATCTCTTGACAGTACATTGGATGATGCTCAAATATCTGGTAGTGATTTGTACAGAATGTTTCGATTTGGGTTAGAAATTGGCCGAAAAATCGTTGCTTTTGAGCAAAACTCAAGTGGGTTGGTCAGAAAAAGACCAATCTATTCATAACCCAATTTAATTATTGTTTTGGATTCTTGAGTTGTTGCTCGAATGTGTACAGAGGTAAAGCCACGGTCATTCGTGTTCATGTATTCAAATTTTCTTAGGAAAAAAATGAAGTCTCTTATCATTTGCATTTCTTTATATTCTTTTTGTTAATGATGTTCTTCCCCTGTAAATATTGAAGTGGCAGTTGTGCTTTGTGCATTTCAATTTATTTATTTGTTATTTGCAGACTGTTCCCGGCTATGATGTGGCTGGCATTGTGTTAAAGTAGGGAGCAATGTGAAGGAATTTAAAGAAGGAGACGAAGTTTATGGTGACATTATCGAGAAGGCAATTGCCGAGCCGAAACAGCTCGGCTCCTTAGCCGAGTACACAACTGCTCAAGAGAAGCTTTTAGCTCATAAGCCTAAGAATCTCGATTTTGTGCAAGCCGCTGCCTTGTCTCTTGCCCTTGAGACAGCTTATGAAGGGCTCGAAAAGTACAGTTTTTCTAAGGGCAAATCATTTCTTGTTCTCGGTGGAGCTGGTGGTGTTGGGTCATTCATCATTCAAGTAAAGTTTAACTTAATGAAGATAGATCTTGGGAGCTCTTTGTGTTCATTATTCATTTATATTGATAATTCTATGCAGATGCTTAATTGAGATGCAGCCATAGCTTCGAACTTGTGAGAATTTATTCATTGATTTAATGCAGATTGCCAAACATGTTTTTGGTGCGTCTAAGATTGCACCTACAGCCAGCACGTCGAAATTGGAATTTCTGGAAAGTTTGGGGGCCGATTTGGCAATTGACTACACTAAGGAGAAGTATGAGGACCTGCCTGAGAAATTTGACTTTGTTTATGATGCTGTTGGTAAGATGACCTAACCTCACACTTATATGCTATAGTTTGAAATAAGATTTAGTTTATGATTGGGTTATTTTTCAGTTAGGCCAAAAGGTAATGGCCATGGCCATTTTTTTTTTCTTCAAAAATAGAAGCCTTTTATTTATAAACACGATTTTTGTCCGGTTTATAGGGGAAACTGAGAGGGCCGTGAAGGCAATGAAAGAAGGAGGCACCGTTATCACGATAGTTAGGTGCGCCAACACCGTATATCGAGAGTTGTAAGGTGAAGCCCGTGCTCAACCAATTGTTAAATGGTAAAAACAAGTTGATACCATAAAATTAATTTCATTTTCTCTCTCTTCTCATGCTATATATACTTTCTAATAATTCATATAGAAAAAGGGGACCTTTATTTATACTTTGTTTGATTCTAATAATTCG